TAATATTGGAACAATTGTTTCGCAAATGATTTCACAGCAAGAACGGATAAATATAAAATTTGAAAATAATTAAAAAAGAACGAGTTCACGTGTGATTTTAAAAAAAAAATCACTATCACAACGCTTATTCTATTACAATTACGGTAAGTCTTTTCTTTGTAATTTAAATCAAAGCATTATCTTAGAGGAGATCGATATACTTGGATTGGAAAAAAGAAAACACGGCGCCTTCCTTGCTAAATTTCATCTTAACGTCAAGAACCTGACTAGAAATTTAGAAAGGGTCACTATAAAAATATAGTCAATATGTTGATATTATTCAATGTAACATGCTTGAATGAAGATATGTTGATATATATATATATATATATATATATATATATATATATATATATATATATATATATATATATATATATAATGTAAGAAGAATAAATAATAAAAATTAAAAATAAAGCCACGTGACTGTCACCCTCAGATTGTTGGATCCTCAGGTTAGGTTCATTTCTTGGCTTCCTTAGCTCATAGTTCTGGCTTTAAAGATGGAAAACTCTCCTTTTTCCTTTTTAATTGGGAGTGAATATTCTGGCTACATATTATATATATATATATATATATATATATATATATATATATATATATGTGTGTGTGTGTGTGTGTGTGTCTAATCATCTTGCTATAATTTCAGCGCTCTTAATTTCTCTCATAAATATAGCAACATCAATATCACCATATAATATAATTTACAAAATTTCACATCCACTGTATGAATTTAACTCGTCCTTACTAAAACGTATCTTACTTTTGGTTAAGAGTTCTTTTAATCACTATTTTTGGCAAATATATTTTAACCGAGCGGTGTTTTTACAATATCTGCTCAGCCTGAATGATGTTACATGATTATGGTACCTCCTTTCAAATGCACCCTCTCTCCAAGTAATGTAACTCATCATAAGGAGGCGCTTTACTTACACTTCCTTCTCATAGAGCTCTCTGTTTAACGGACATTTATCACTTTTTCTACAATTACACATTTTTATATTAGTCGGGGCTTTCCTTTCAGCTTTTTCTGCTTATGTCCCTTAATGATCATCTTCGTATTGTGTATTGTGTTATAGCTAACTTTTATTGTATTCCTTTTAAAGATTTTATAGAATACTCTATAACCAGAAAGTGCTTATTCGATATGACCAAGAATTTTGATTTTAACTTTTAAATTAAACGGGATATTGGATCATTCTCTATTCGTTTTTCTCTTTACCTTTAATCGGAAAAGATGATAACGATTGACATTACAGTTAATTTTTTCAAGGTGACTGGAAAAAAATAAGCCTGAAGAGAGTTCTACAAGGGAGAATTGCGAAGGAAGCAACTATTAGCAGGGAATTTACAGTTTCATCTAGCCATCTCAACTATAAAATGAGTGAGCTCTTGCAGCCTATCTACTACGTCGCTTAAATTTATAAGAGTCTAGGATGAAACAGGATAATTCTTCAGAACAATTATAGAAAAGTCACATGGGAGCTACATTACGGTGATAGGAAAGTGACTGAAGCCGGGATAACGAGCCAGGACTAATAACATTGCAGATTATTCGTTGCATTTTACCAATTATCACTAAATACATAGCAGAAGCACGGAACCAGATGTGATGTCAATATTCAATAGATAATCGAGTGACAGATATATAAATGTGTAAAATATATTTTGGCAAGAAAAAATTCTCTAGTACGAGAGAGTGTAACATCTTTCGTGGCAGCAAGCTTAATAACTGACTTAATATAATGTTTCCATTTTATGTCAGCAGAAAATATTAACCAGCGAAAGTCTAATGAGTAACTCTCCTAGATGTTAACCGCGGTCATCTTCATGGAGAGCAAAAACGTTTGTCTAAGACACTTAAAATATAGCATTTTCGTTAGGATGCGTTAAAGTTCATTTTCGTTTCAGATGCTGTAAAATTCATTTCGTGAACCAGATGACAACCATATTGTAGGTTAATTTTTTTTTAATTTGCTGCCAATTTCATCTTTTCTAATCTATCAGACTTACCATTAACACAGGACTATCATTTGTTTTGCCGACTGTGACACATCACATACGACACAGAAATCAATGCACTGTTTATACTTCCCTTCAAAGATATCTGCAAGCAGATTTTTATTTTGCTGCCATTTGGCCGGGGAATCCTCAATTAAATATTTGTTTCCGTAAGCATTAGTCGCCAGTTATCTGATTTTTTCATAATCATACTGAACGTTAGTACCGTATTATTACCCATGGATTCAGAGTAACACTTCTGAGGAGCGGACTTTATAAAGAAAACAATCATTAATATGAAAGCGAACATTAACAATAAAAAATAAAAAAAGTTGAAAGATTTATATTCCGACTCAGACATTCGGAAAGATAAATCTGCACTACAGCTTTAATAGAAACTAATTCTATTAGGTTTCTATTATATATTTCTAATTATATTGGGGGAAAAAAAACAATTGAATTATCTTACTGCGAAAGTACGGATTTACCTCTGCTAAGCACTGGATTAGCAGGTAACTGTCTAAACATTTTATTTATTCACTGCATCGCATACTTTCTTTTATTATTTCTTACTCTCTCTCTCAACACACACACACACACACATATATATATATATATATATATATATATATATATATATGTATGTATGTATGTATGTATGAACATAGATAAGCTCTGATAAGAAAGTATCAAGACTGTTGCCATGGTAGCTGAGCTAAAGCACACAGAGCGAAGTCGATTTGTACCGATTGACTTTGAACTTTGTCCCGCACACAGACCATATTATAACGTGCTGGGCCACTGTGTTCTGGAAGGAAGTATTTCGAAAGTATTCGTTTCACCAAATCAGAGAGCTGCTATTAGTGACAATGCTTTGTGAAGCCTTTTTTTAGCCAAGCACACCGTTTCTCAGACCCGCCAACCATTATATTCCTCAGATCTGTCCCTTATGCCATTTACCGCTTATGAAATAAAATTTCACTTTAAAGGTACCTGATTTGAAACTATTTTCGAGGAAATCCATGGGATGAGGTAGCAGCTCCCAAAGAAAAAGTTCCAAGGCTGCTTCCAATAATGGAAACGACGCCGGATAAAGAACTTTTTTTTTTTTAGAAGGAAACTACTTTTCTTCTTATAGCTGGACTCCCCATAACTTCTAATAAGTCTCTCTCACTTTCTCTCTCTCTCTTTCTCTCTCTCTCTCTCTCTCTCTATATATATATATATATATATATATAGTTAAGCCTAGAGAGCCAGACAAACCTAAGCGGATCGTCAGGGAGGATCCACTTAGGTGAAAACTTGATAGGTTTGTCTGGCTCTCTAGGTTTAACTAGGTCTGCTCTACTCATTGTATTGAGCACTTTATTTAGTTGTTTTGCGTACTCGCATCGGTTTTTTTTTCTTTGGACTTTGAACTTGCATGATTGACGATTAATTTCGGCTAACGTACATGTTCTTGGTTCTTTCTTTTTATACCTTTTTTTTTTTTCCCTTTCGTATTGGCTTGTTTATTTATGACTTATATATATATATATATATATATATATATATATATATATATATATATATATAAGTTTCATTAAAAACGACTGACAAGGTACTACTAACAATATCTTGACATACTAATGCGTAAATGTATTTAATAAAATCTGTATTGGCTCAACCATGGCCTCCAGACGACTTCGGATTCCCATGCAACTGTTCTCATTGTTTTCTTTAAAGAATACTGCCATAATCCTTGCCTTCAGTTCATCTTTGGTGTTTCAAGGATTTTTGTAGTCTATCGGTCAACTGCGACACGCAAAATAATGAAGGAGGTTGCAGTCTGGGGCGTTAGATGGCCAGGTGTAAGAGGCAATGTGGTCGCAGAAATTGTCTGACAGTCATTCCATTGAAGTAGAATGTCAATTGAAATTGGTAATAAGCAGATACACTCTCTCTCTACTTTTTCTCTCCTTTTCCAGACGATACATCTATAGGTATTTGAACGAGTCCAAGTTCTATTCTGCAGAAGTGTGTTCATCTGCACAAAGGTACTTCCAGAGAATAATTTGACTTTATAAATGTTTGCTTCATTTTTCTGTACATTTTAGGTAATCTGCCTGATATCGCCACACTAAAATCGTTTATAAAATCAATATCTATTAAATGGGTATCATATTTTGAATATAAAGAAGCGGTTTTCGATGTGAATTGAACATCCATCTCTTTTTTCATTTTCAGATTCATTCTGTTCATTTAAAGCTTATAGAATGCCAGACTAGCTATGTGTTTCGATAAAAATAGCAAAAGTGCTATTAACAAAGAATTAAATAAATAAAACAACGAAAAACAAAAGAGCAATAATCAGAAATCAATAATTAGGGTATTTTCTCCTAGAATGAGAAAGATTTTAAGTGATTGTAATATCTACCTATCCACATGTAAAAATAAAATCAATAAAAAATATCAGTGACAAAACATCTCGGTTCCCTCAAGTACCCTATTCATCTCTGAGGAAATATTCCAGCATTCACTGCCATTTAGAAACATGATAGTTATTGATATTGTTAGTACCGTTCCTCCTTGTTCATATGTTCCATTTAGGGTATTCTCAAAATCCTTCTGTAGAATCAAGCTTCAATTGCCTCACCTCTCTTATTATTTTTTGAGGACATCTTGCAGTATTCATTGCCATTTCGAAAAACGCTCAATGACAGTACTTTGCATAAGATACTCGCATATGACTGTAACATTTTGTGTCGTATTTTGATTGATTTTTAAACGTATGCTTGGATTTTTCACAATATATGAGAGACATGTTAGTTCTATCAAGTTAAACATCAATCACTTTAAATTCTATGACAGAATTTTTATTTAACGAAAAAACATTGTAAACTTTACAAGTTATATGAATGAATCTCTCGTTGAAGAAAATCGTTATTTTCTTAAATCATGTCGAAATCCAAACGCAGAAACTAAATCGCCTTCTTTTTTTCCAAAATACGCTTGGGAAGGAAGATTGTGTTTTCCGACTCCATGTTTTTGGTGGGCTTTTCATTTGAGAATTCTTTTCGGTGCGATGTCACTTCTATAGATGTGGCACCGTCCTGAAACGGAAAAAAATAAATAAAAATATTCAGCATTGATCTTGTAAAACTTTGAATATTCTGTAGTATTGTCACTTGTATGCCGGGGATCTATTACTATCGGTGCTAGTTCTGTTTTTAAGCTCAATGCCGATTTCGTATAATGTTGGTCTGTCTACAGAGTGTAACTAGTTTCTGATACACAGACAATTACATTTCTTGCACGTTACCAGAAGAATTTAAAATTTTCAAATATCATTTTGTCGTTTAAAATATTTTAGGATGTAGTTCGGAAAGGCAACCCCTCACTTCTCTCTCTCTCTCTCTCTCTCTTACTCTCCACAAGCAAACAATTACGAACAGGCACACAACACACAAAAACAAACACACGCATTTTTTCACACACACACACACACACACATATATATATATATATATATATATATATATATATATATATATATATATATATATATATATATATAAACGAAAACAAAAACAGACCGTAAAAAACCTAGAGAACTAAAAAAGTAAATCGTGATTTATATCAAAAATTAATCTGGATCAACGTATTAAAATAAATATCTGCATATTGATCCAGATTAGTTTTATCATAAACTGTGGTTTATTTTTTTTTTAGGTATGTTACGGTTTGTTTTTAAAATCCCACGTTTCTTCACAGGAAAATTGAAAGGCATA